TTAGAAATACAAATATGTAAATACAAATTTTACTATTTTATTTATCTTATTATACAATAATAATTTTCTACAAAATTTCAGAAGAATGGCTTTAAACATGGGAAATAAACAGAATAAGGAAAAGGGAGTATTTTAGAAATATATATTTATACAGAATAAGTTTTGAACACAATATAAATACATCTTTTTTTATTTATATATTATACAATAATAATGTTCTGCAAATTTTTAGCAGAATGGATTTAAACATGGGAAAGAACAGAATAAAGGGAAATTTAAGTATTTCAGAAAAACATCTACAGAATAAATTTTGTTTTAATTTTACTTTTAATTTAAATATTATGCATTAATAATTTTCTGCAAAATTTAAGCATGGTGAGGAATTTACAAATTTTTACAAATGACATTTTTAATTTACCATTTTGTTATTTTAACTGATACATAATAATACAATAATAATTTTCTACAAAATTTCAGAAGAACTGAAATGAACACTTGAAATGAACAAAATGAAGTAAAATGAGAGTATTTTAGCAGTACAAATCTATTTTGGAGACAATATAAATATATATATATTTTTTTATTATATATACTATAACAATTTCTGTTAAATTTCAGAATTGGTTTAAAAAAAAGTGAAACGTGACTATTTTTTTTAAATTATTTTATTTTAGCTTTATTTTTAATTTAAATATTATACAATAATAATTTTCTGCAAAAGTGCAGCAGAATCGATTTAAACGTGGTGAGCGATTAATAGAATTTTACAAATGACTTTCTGTGCTCACAGATTCCATTTAGGACCTAGTAATAATTGGTGTGTGTGTGTGTGTGTGTGTGTGCGCGTGTGTGTGTGCGCGTGTGTGTGTGCGCGTGTGTGTGTACACACCATGACCCAGCAGTGAAAGCTAATGCTGAGGGTCAGGTAGAGTGCAGACAGTATCAGCAGCGCTCGGAACCGCTCCAGTAACAGCGACACCAGCCCCACCTGGAACACGTATGTGTTGAACATCATGAGGAGAATGATGATCATGTTAAACAGGATGCTGATGTCCTGGATTCTGCAGAAAGAAGACAAAACACAGATATGATATTAGAAAACATTAATGCATCTGCTTTGATTCAAAGCATCTTGCATTGCATTCAAGGTTTGCATTTGATCATTTCATCTGGGATGCCTGTTTGTTCAAGAAACAAGGTGTCTATATAATATTTTTGAAAATATGGGAATAAAGAGTGCTTATTTTCTAAATATTATCTGCTTTCTATATTGACCTAATCAGACTGATGCTATGAATAATGTGACTTGTGGTGCAATCTGTAACTCCTCACATGAAGAGCACGAGCTGTATGACCGCCGCGGCCCGCAGCAGTTCACTGAAGGAGTTGACGAACAGGTCAAAGGTCAGCAGTGCCAGCTGGATCAGCAGCACCAGCGAGTAGTTATTAGTCTGGAGCATATCTGCAGCGATCCGGAATATACTAGAAAACTGCACCACCACAGCCCTCCACCACTCTTCAGCAGACGTGTGACGTGGAGATCATCTCGCCGTGATTATATAGAGGAAATTCCATCTCACTTCCGCCTACTCCATGAAAAACCAAAGGACGGCGAGGACAATTGCTGGAGTTGTTCCACTGGCCGTTTAATCCTGGCATCAGCCATGCTGGATCAGTGACGAGTAAACATTCAGATGCTCGGGTGAATATTAATGTTCCTGAAGAGCTGAAATCCTCATCAGAGCGTGCTGAGATGTTCCTCCTGAATGGATTATAGAGAAGATAAATCACATCAGAAAAACATTCTCTATCCTATCTAGTTAGCTAGCTAACTAACTCTTTCTGTTGAATGTCTATCTAAAATATATCTATCATATTGAATGCCTGTCTGTCTATCTATCTATTTTAATTTATTATGCTGAATATCTATCTATCTGTTTATCTATGTTTGTCTGTCTGTCTGTCTATCTATCTATCTATGTCTATCTGTCGGTCTGTCTATCTATCTATCTATCTATGTCTGTCTATCTATCTATCTATGTCTGTCTGTCTGTCTATCTATCTATGTCTGTCTATCTATCTGTTTATCTATGTTTGTCTATCTATCTGTTTATCTATGTTTGTCTATCTATCTGTTTATCTATGTTTGTCTATCTATCTGTTTATCTATGTTTGTCTATCTATCTGTTTATCTATGTTTGTCTATCTATTTATCTGTTTATCTATCTATATATGTCTATCTATCTATGTCTGTCTATCTATGTCTGTCTGTCTGTCTGTCTATCTGTTTATCTATGTCTATCTATCTATCTGTTAATCTATGTATGTATCTATCTATCTATGTCTGTCTGTCTATCTATCCATCTATATCGATCTATCTATCTATCTGCTGAATGTTTATCTACCTATCGATCTATCTAACTTCTGAATGTCTATCTGTTGAATATCTATATGCTCTGAATGTCTACCAACCTATCTATCTATCTATCTATCTCTGTCTGTCTGTCTGTCTATCTCTATATATGTCTATCTATCTATGTCTGTCTATCTATGTCTATCTGTTTATCTATGTCTATCTATCTATCTGTTAATCTATGTATCTATCTATCTATCTATGTCTGTCTGTCTATCCATCTATATCGATCTATCTATCTATCTGCTGAATGTTTATCTATCCATCTACCTATCGATCTATCTATCTAACTGCTGAATGTCTATCTGTTGAATATCTATATGCTCTGAATGTCTACCAACCTATCTATCTATCTATCTATCTATCTCTGTCTGTCTGTCTGTCTATCTATCTGTCTGTCTAATCTATCCATCTATGTCTGTCTATCTATCTATCTGAATATCTGTCTGTCTATCTATCTATCTATCTATCTGCTGAATGTCTATCTATCTATCTGTCTGTCTATCTATCTATCTATCTATCTGTCTATGTCTGTCTATCTATCTATCTATCTATCTATCCGTCTGTCTGTCTATGTCTGTCTATCTATCTATCTATCTGTCTATGTCTATCTGTCTATCTATCTATCTATCTGTCTGTCTGTCTATGTCTGTCTATCTATCTATCTATCTGTCTATCTGTATCTATCCATCATGTTGAATATCTATCTCTGTTAAATGTCTATATGTCTGCTGACCTACCTGCCTACCTATCGATCTATCTATCTATCTATCTGCTGAATGTTTATCTATCTATCTATCTACCTATCGATCTATCTATCTAACTGCTGAATGTCTATCTGTTGAATATCTATCTATCTGCTCTGAATGTCTACCAACCTATCTATCTATCTGCTTAAGATCTATCAATCTATTTTTTTTAAATGTAAAGGATTTGTTACAGTTAAACATTGGTTGAGGTATGTCTATACAGTGTAATTATAAATAAAGGGGTGTTATAGGTTTATCTAACTGCTGAATGTCTATCTGTTGAATATCTATCTCTCTATCTGTTGAATATCTATCTATCTCTATCTGTTGAATATCTATCTCTCTATCTGTTGAATATCTATCTATCTCTATCTGTTGAATATCTATCTCTCTATCTATCTATCGAATATCTATCTATCAATCTATCTATCTCTCTATCTGTTGAATATCTATCTATCTCGCTGCAGGAGTGTCCTGTCACACTGGCCCGTGAGTCAGAGTCCTTCAGGTGTTGCACAGGAAGAGCAGCAGGTCACTGAGGGGATTACGGGTTAGTTTGCAGGAGATGAGACGCTCTGGGCATCTCTAATCTCCGTCTGATTCAAAACTCCACACAGTTTAGCCAGCTTCTCTCAACACTCCTGACGCTCACTATGAAATATCCACAGTACGCGGCTTCAGTCCTTAAGAATGAATTCGATTGTGTATAATGACAGAAGGCACGAGATTAGCTGCTGGTTCACTGGGTGAGTTCACTCAGGTCCTGTGTGAACTCTGAAATCTCTCGTGGTGGTGAACACATCTATCGATCATGTTGAACGTTTACTGTTTACAAACACATGGACAGACTGGTAAAACAAAAGAGTGCAATTAAACTCCACAACAAGATATAAAATGCATTTAATCAGTTCTAAGAGCGAAACTACTTAAAACCAAAATCATGAACTGCTTGTTTACTGTGATCAAGAGATTTAACAGCTAAAAAGGCTAACTGCTAACCAAACGCACACGGCTTTAATCTTTCACACACCTTTAACCCCGTGCGAGTCGATGCGTGTAACGCAAGTCGTCTTCCTTAATTCCGTATGAATCATAACATGTTCCGTCTGAATGGTAAAATCATCCTGATTTCTCTTGATTGTAGCGGAGAGTTTCTGACTTGAGCTGATCGCGGAGCACGAGCGCTGCCGCGTCTCCCATGGCAACGGCGCGGAGCTCCGGTTACCGTAACGATTGAAATATAGGTGTAGAATAAATATGTACAAATATATATTTAAATAATAAACATTTCCGTAATATTCTCTAATATAAAATAAATAACGTCAAGTTTAAAGTTATATAACCTAACCTTGTTTTGTTTGTTTTTATTGTGCATCAATGTGCATATCTTTATAAATGTAACGTTTACCTATACTCTTATTAATTATTTGGAAACGTAAAACATTTTTTATAATGTAAAGAAAGTTTTTGCTTCTTAAAAACGTTGTTCTGTTTTAAAACGGATGGGACTGGAGAGGCATCCAAACAATTTTGAGGAAAAAGCGAGGATTTATTATAAGAGTTACGGTATTTTGAGGCTAATAATAAACATTTCCGTAATATTCTCTAATATAAAATAAATAACGTCAAGTTTAAAGTTATATAACCTAACATTGTTTTGTTTGTTTTTATTGTGCATCAATGTGCATATCTTTATAAATGTAACGTTTACCTATACTCTTATTAATTCTTTGGAAACGTAAAACATTTTTTATAATGTAAAGAAAGTTTTTGCTTCTTAAAAACGTTGTTCTGTTTTAAAACGGATGGGACTGGAGAGGCATCCAAACAATTTTGAGGAAAAAGCGAGGATTTATTATAAGAGTTACGGTATTTTGAGGCTATTGGTTCTCTACTGCCCCCTGCTGGATGAACACTGGCATAACAAGACACCTGCCGATCACAGGTAACGCGCGACACACACCTGAGCAACATCGCACCACAGGTCTGGTACGTTCTGTTTCTTAATTGTAGTCATGTATTTATTTGAATGACAAATTAATTGATTTAACGCCAGTTTCTTCCGTTTTATGTTTGTTCAGTTAGTCTTAAACGAAAAGTGGAAAGTGCTGACATATGGTTTAAAATTATGCAGGATACCAACATTTGCCAGTCTACTAAAACTCTCTTAGAACAATACTTAATACATACTTACATTATATTATACATGCCCTTCATCTACTTTACAAAAGAGTACCATGGTATTACCATGTTTTTGGACATACACCTTCTAAACACCATGGTATATGTAGATGGTATGCATAAATATGAAATGTACCATGGTAAAACCTACCATCTAACACCACTGATCCCATGTATAAAGTTCATGTCTATTTTGAGTCAAAAATCCATTCTATAGACAATATGATAAAGTGTTAAATGTTCATGTACTTTATTCTGTAAAGCAGATGAAGTGGGTCATTGCACGTGCATTTCTGAGTGTTTCCTTCCTGGGTTTGCAGTTTCATCGAAACAAATTCATGATTTAACTTTGCCTGACAAGTTTGATTTATTGCAAGCGGCGTAAGGAAAATACTTTATTTATAATAGTTATGTATGATTTCCACACACAGAAAAAAAATGCATGTGTAGACTATATGTTTTCTTCTCTGAAGCTGACATATGGCTGTCAGACTTTATCTCTCAGGTGATTTTCGTGTGTAATTGTAGCAAAGCTCGGGAAGTTTATTTGACCTTGAGTGTTGCAATTCATCTATGGCTTTATTGCAGGTGTGTAAACATGCCATGCCCACAGGCTATATTTTGTTATATTCACACATATCTTGAATCGTGAAATCAACATGAATGTTTTGTGTTACAACATTGGCCCTTAAACGTATTTAGGTCGCAGAATGTCATTGCAAATAACAAATTGTAAGAATGCCACTAAAGTAGATAACAAAATATGACGCCAGCTCACTTCTCAAGCAGAATATTTGACTAAATGTGTTGAAAAATGAAAACCAAACATTCTGTATTCCAAATACAAACACTTAATGCAATGACATTTAAACTTCTTTGTAAATGTAAGCACACATACATCACGAGATGTCTATTTGACATCTGCATTTACATCTGCAAGACATATTATTTAAAGTGTTTGCTCATCTGCAATACATCTATAGGACGTTTCCTATCAGATGTCAAATAGACGTTTAGAAGATGTCTTTAAGATGTTTATGATTTAGAATGCGTGTAAAACTGACATCTTAAAGACGTCTAGCAGATGTTTGTACACAGCAGATGCTTTCCAGATGAAGCGATCTTTAACAGACGTCTTGCAGACTTCAAGGTCACATCTTGGCTATAATTAAATACAATCAAAACATCCTTCAGTATATAATGATGAGAAAACAGGATTTAAAAAATACACTGAAAAAAAATGAATAAATGAATCCCATCTTATAACACATCACATTTACACTTTCACAATCAGCATGTTTCTCGCAAACAGTTATTACTCTATCATATCCAAACAAGTACTTGGACCATTTTTTATAGTAGCCAGATAGCACAGGTATGTCTGCAAGATGTCTGCTTTATATGATCTGAGCATGTCGCTTTCCAGATATCACTGATTCAAATCAATCATAACCACACGGTGCTATTGTTCCAACCACAACCCAAACCATTAATTCATTAGGCAAATCTTTCATGTTTCATATGACCTGTGGTCATTTCATATGGAGGTATTTCCCTGCGTCCAGCCCTCATCCGCATGGTTGAGAGAAACTCGTGAGAAACTCGTAAGAGCTCTGAATGCAGTCTACAGTATGTAAACCGAGCTAAAGTCTTTATTTGCATTTCACTTTGTTTTTGCACACACTCCCTCTCTGTGCACGCACGCACACACACACACACACACACAGTCCTGTCACATGACTTCATCCTGTTTTGCAGTTAATATCCTGGAGATCTGTGGAAAGAAAAAGAAGTTGAAGAGAAATGAATTGTGGCATGTATGTGTGCATGCCTAGATGTTGATTGTAATTTGACAGATGACCATTGGTTGCTTTGTTCATGGAATGAGAGGGAGTGTCATAAAGCCTAAGCCTAAATCTTAATGCCACGTCTGTTTCTCCTTGCGAAATTCCCATGTGCTTTGATGCTGCCATGTTTCGCAGCAGCCTGCTGATTATGTAACAAAATGTCATATAAACATGGACTTTTGCATTCGATCAAATCATTAACCATGTTATAGGGCTTCATATTTGTGTGAATCGATTAGGGATTGACCAATACGTCGTTGAGGCAGACTAACTGAACATTATTTGGCCACTTTTAGATCACTTTTTTGCAGATTATTTATTTTTAATAAACACGTGTCAGTTTTGACATCTACCAGCAACCTTGGCTGATAATTGATTCTTCCCAAGACTAATAAAAAAAAAGTAAGTAAACAACTCACACACTTAGATATAACCAATTTGTTACATCAAAATAAGACTTCAAATAGCCTGAAAACATGATCAATGGGAGTTTTTAGTGAGTAATCAGCTTTGTGAACTTTAAGGTAAATCTCTGTGGCTGAGTTCTGTTTTCTTTAGTTCGCATGTAAAATCCCAAAACCATCCATGTGATCACAACTGCTACATAATATCAGCACAAACACAGTCGATATGGCTTGCATGTGGGGGAATTACAGCCAGGTTATATTGACTGTCTCAGGTTAGAAAACATGGCACCTGTTTGACGGACTGTTTAACATCCTGGTTAACGATTATTTGTCAATATGTAAGAAGCAGGATATTACAGATGTCCTCAGCATATTCCATTAATGAAGGTGACTTTAACCGATTAAATAAAGTCAGTGTTTAACTAAATCACAGTTTGAAGTGCAATAATATTAATGAATGCTAAGTTAATGTTCTAACCAGTTACGACAACAAATTTCTAGCATCAAGTAATTTTTCCATCCTTACTAAAAGTGAAAAAGCTGGGTCAGGCAACATTTAGAACATATTTAATGGTTAATATGTAGGCATGATATTAACAAACAATGAGGGCAAACAAATAGAAACCAAGTGACCAACAAAATGTCTTGTTTTGTGTTACTTGTCACACTTGTGGCCATTTAGAGCAAGAACTATGAGATAAGATTGTGCCTTATCATTGTTTAACCTGGTTTGACCACATTTGCAACATTTCTTACCAGCTCCATATTTGTATTCCTGTCCGTCTGCTCTCTTTGTGCAGTAATGTCCAGCTGGTTGAAGGACGGGGTGGTGTTGGAGGGGACGGGCAGTGGTCAGATGTCGCCCCGCTCCAGACTGCGGAGCCCCTTGCCGAGTCGGACAGCGAGGTTACATTCGTCCAATGATGCGACCTCTCCTGACTCAGACAGACAGGACAGAATGAGCAAAGCTAAAGAGCTCTTTGAGCTCTGTGATAAAGAGGGGAAAGGATTCATCACGAAGAGAGACATGCAGGTGAGACTGGACATGTGATTTCTGTAGTAGTGGTTATACTAGGAATGTGTTTAATGTGTCTTCTCATGTTTAAATCCACCAGCGGCTTCAGCAAGAGCTTCCTCTGTCTCCTGAGCAGCTGGAATCAGTGTTTGAGAGTTTGGACAGAGACAGAAATGGTTACCTCACACCCCTCGAGTTCCACATGGGCCTAGGTTAGTGTGTATTTGTGTATTAATATTTTCTTTAAAAAAACTGTGTATAAAGTTGTTTAAAAAAAAAAAAGTGTAATTGTTATTAAAATTAAGACAAAAACGTGTGTGTCTGTTTATGTATTTGTGTGTGTGTATATATATATATATATATATATATAACACATTTTTAAATAAACATAAAAAGTTTTTTTTTTTTTTAACGTTTTTTTTATATTAAAAATATATATTTAATAAAATAAAAGAAATAATAAAATAATCATATTTATTTATTTCTGAGTTAATAACTAGTATTATTTATTTATGTACTATTATTGTATTTATTTCAGGATAAATTATAAAACTGTAAAAACGGATTATTTTTAAATAATTTTTTTCTTTTTCAGTTTTCGTTTTAATTTGAGTTTGTTTGAATCATTTTATTATGTGCTGTCATCATTTTGATTAGATTTTTAAACATATTTTTACATATTTTTGTGACCTCTGAGCAATAAATGTTATATGCCTTTTTGGCTGAATTTGGACGAGTTTTTTTTTTATATGTTTCTATGTAGTTTTATTAATTTTTTTAATTTCAGTTTTAGTTTTATTAATTGTAGCACCTAAACTTATTTCAGTTAATTGCCAATGCAACATATCTGAAGTATTTTTTTTATATATTCATATTTTATTTCAGCAGTATTTTATTTAACGAAAAGTATGTTTAATAGATTTATAGCTGGACACCACTTTCTGTATTAAACATACAATATAGCGATTTCATGTGTTTCATTACATATTTCATACCATTTCACATACTATTTTTGAAAGTAGTATGCACTATATAGTATACTATGTGTAGTACACTGTGAAAAATGTTGCTGCAATTAGTTATAACATCTTAAAAGTTGTTGAGATAACCTAAATATCCAGCTTAACTAAACTTAAGTCAAGCACAAACACTTAATTTTTGAAGTTGAAACAACACATTATTACTTCATCTAATGTTGAATTTTAAATTGTGGTAACTAATCGCAGCAATCATTTTTTACAGTGTATGCATTAAGATGTATGCCTAAATTAAAATCTCTCGGTCTAAATTAGGAGAGCTTGTTGGTTCTGGGCCAGAGGAGAGAGCGAGGAGCGGAGAGGAGAGAGTAGAGCCGACGGAGATCCGATTCACACACATCCTCATGGAGCTGGGAGCTGATAAACTCTTCAAAGAGTGAGTAAATATACACAGCTATGGTCACCACTGTGTAACAGATAAGATAACAAGTCAACTGTGCTTGTCTGTTTGAGGTTTAGATGAATATTGACAAAGCCATCATACTGTCATTGTACACATTTAAGTTAACATTTATGGGCTGCATCGGCCAAACTCTGCTTTTTTCACTAACACTTTACACAAAGTTTACACGAGCTTTTTGGGTTGTTCATGTCTGTCTGTGTGTTAGTCAGTGGGAGCTGTGTACTCTGTGGTGTGAGCTCCAGAGGGACAAACCTGAGCTGTTGGATGTTTTGGAGGAGGTTCTTTCCTACACTGTCTCTCATCTTCAGGATGCACTCAAAGAGAAAGACAATTTAGAACAGGCACTGCGCAGGTCAGCCCTCACCGAGGTCCTCAGGCCTCATTGCACTCCTTTACCTGTTGTAAAATAAACATGTCTTTTTGTATGTCTTGAGATAAATGAAATGTGCTGAGTGTTTAAATGTCCTACAGGAGAGAGGAAGATCATGACCGAGTGGTTCGGTCCATGTATGAAGACATGGAGAGTCAGTTAAAAGAAGAGAGAGAGAAACGACAAGCTCTGGTAAACACGCACTGTAAATATGAAGTACGGATTGAAGTTTGGCAAAACTTTAGAAGGGGAAATGTTATTTTAATTAGAGAATAGTGCTAGTATTAGAGGAAATTATGATATTGTTCATGGTGGTTATTATAATGATTATGGTAATGACAGATTATAGTGATAATATTGTTCATGGTGATTGTGATACCAATGGTGATGATGGTGATTATGATGATGGTAATCATATAGTTCATGGTGACTGTGATAGTGTTGGTGATAATGATATTGCTGTGATGGGGATAATATTATTGTTCCTTGTGATTATGGTATCAGTGGTGATCATGGTGATCTCGAACCTTTCAGTGAACAGTTTTTAAAAGAGCAATTTTTTCTTAATGTGAAGAACATATGCCTTTCTCCACTATAAAGGACCTTTTGTAGAATGGAAAGATTCTATGGATGTTAAAGGTTCTTCATGGAACCAAAATAACTTGTGACAAACAAATAAACATAAGCTGCTATTTCCTGATGATATGCTGTGCAGTTTTCATGTCTGACTGTTTCTCACTACAGAGAAGTCCTGAAAGTGTCCCGAAACATGCAGAAGGAACGGGAAAGCCTCATGAGACAGCTGGATCTTCTCAGGTAGGGCGACCCAACTGAAACGGTCACACCTTTATGATGTAGTATGATGAGTGTTCAAGAGTAGGCATGTGTGTATTACTTTTATCTGAAAGATAAGGCTGTAAGAATCGACCAATCAAAATGGATGAAGGTTTAAGATGTTTGATCGATCATTAGTCCATCTCATTGACAACTAGATTTGTTATCTATATATTCCAAGGCTGTAAAAGTCCTGTGAGGAGGAGCTTTAGCTTAAAAATGTAACTGGAATTCTCTCTGCTTCTCTTTTGTAGAGACATGAACAAGCGTCTTCGGGATGATAAAGATGCCCAACAGACACAGAAGATGGTTAGTCAAAAATACCCCTTCATGTCTCCCACTCCTTACCCACCGTGCCGCTGTGTTCACGCCTTCTCGCCGTGGGTGCGCTCTGTTTACCCATATTAACCCTGCCTTTTGCCCATATAACATTACCCACAATGCATACAGCTAAATGTGAACGGCTACATTCGTCTGGATGTATTTCTGTGAGTTTCCATGAGCCCATGTTTCTTCGGGAATTTGAAAGTTTGTGGATGATGCCAGCCACACGCTCTTCTGGAATATTCACATTTTCCAGGTGCAGCTCTGGTTAGTTTATTCTCGGGAGAGCTTGTTCCATTCGTCAGCCTCTAAGAGGAACAACTAATGACTTGAAGGAAACTTTGAACTCAACGAAGACCTTGTGTGGAACATTTGAAATTGTGAATATGGAATTTAGCCCTGTTCTCCAATCAAACGGGTCACATTTGGAGAAAGATTGTTCCTTGTTTGGTCTGTTATGGAAACAAGTGTGATTCCAAAATAATGGTTATTTCTGTTTCAGAAGAGCCTTAATCACTTAATGCCCCTCATTTTTTACAAAGAAAGTCAGTCAAAAAATAAGAAAAATACCATAAATAACATTTAATTTGCAGATTACATTTCAATGCCTTGAAATATATGGCCCTTTACCTCATTAACTCTGATTTTATACATTTACATTTTTTTGTATTTGTAGTTTAGTAAAGTTTTGTTTGGTAGTTTCTTTTGAAATGAGCAGTTCTGTCCAATGACAGTTTATGTGTTTGGTCTCTGATTGACGCAACAAGAACAAAATGTAGATTATGATCAGATTTTAAGTTGAACAAATGGATATGTTGTTAAATAAAAATGTTTATTCATCTTGATTCATGTCATCATTTTGGATCATTTACATTCATGCACATATACACAAGTGCTGTTATTTCAAAACCAGTCTCAACCTATGTCACATATTTTGCATAGAAAATCATCTTTTATATATGTGACCCTGGAGCACAAAAGCAGTCTTAAGTCGCTGGGGTATATTTTTAGCAATAGCCAAAAAAACATTGTATGGGTCAAAATTATCAATTTTTCTTTTAGGCCAAAAATCATTAGGATATTAAGTAAAGATCATGTTCCATGAAGATATTTTGTAAATTTCCTACCGTAAATATATCAAAACTTAATTTTTGATTAGTAATATGCATTGCTAAGAACTTAATTTGAACAACTTTAAAGATGATTTTCTCAATATTTAGATTTTTTTGCTCCCTCAGATTCCAGATTTTCAAATAGTTGTATCTCGAACAAATATTGTCCTATCCTAACAAACCATACATCAATGGAAAGCTTATTTATTATGTATAAATCTCAATTTCGAGAAATTGACCCTTATGACTGCTTTTGTGGTCCAGGGTCACACACACACACACACACACACATATATATATATATATATATATATAAGCATTGCAAATACTTAAACAAGTGCATCACATGAACCCAGTTTTGCATCAATTACTGCTCTGGGAGACCGATATGCATAGTTTCTACAAGATAAACTATATACTAGACTTTTCTCAATTTTCATTCAAAACAATCTGCATTAAAGCTGAAGCTAAAATGTCTTTCATATCTGGTCAACTGTTCCTCAGACAGCTCAATTGAAGAACCCTTCACGAAGGAATCCATACTGGAAATCGGCAAAGAGGTGGGTATCTAACTAAACCTCATACATGCTATATTAATGCACATAACACTCTATAAAGAGACATATATGGATATACATACTGTATATAAGATGTGCATTTTTAAACATGGTTATAGCTCTTGCCAGAATTGCAGTTGCAACTGTACACTTTAATTGCAATTCTGAGCCACAACCTTTAATGAATACTGATACTTTCCAGATCATTTGTCTTTGCCAATGCTGCAAAATGTAATTTAGCATCTTAAAACATTTATGTTCCCAATTTTTCATTCCTGCTGATGAAAACAGATCACACACTTTTTTTTGCAGTGCTATTTCAGTATCATTGATATAACTATTATACACTCTAAAAAATGCTGGGTTAAATATAACACAGCGCTGGGTTAAAAAGGGACAAACCCAGCTATTGGGTTGTTTTGACCCAGCAGTTGGGTTATATTTAACCCAGCATTTTTAAGAGTGTAGATTTTATTTATTTATTTTTTATTTAATTTCCATTTGTATATTTTCATTTCATTTTAATAATAAAAAAATATATATATTTTTAACTTTAAAGTTTTAGTAATGTTGTTGTGTTTTTGTCATATTTATTATTATTATTATTCTTATTATTTCAAAGTGTGTCTATATATTTCTTATTAATTTGTATTTGTTTTAGTTTTAGTTATTTTAGTATTTTAAGTTAAACTTAAAGAAAATGAGAAATGATGCTTTGGCAACGAACTGAAATAAAATAAGTTTAATTTTTTATATTTTCTTTTATTTCAGTTAACATTTATTTTGAGTACAGAAGCAGGTTTTAGCAGGATTTATTTATTTATTTATTTTTTAGCAATGATAGAGGGCAATTCAAAGGTATTTTATAATTCCTATGCATTTTTTTGTTGTATTAAAATAATTGTGATTCATTTTAAAGGCAGCTGATGGAAAACCCAAATGACGAGCCTGAGTATTCAGACACCTCTAACAGATTCAAGTCCGAAAAGACTCTCTATAGCTGAAGAGCGAGAAGACGAAACTACCTGCCAGTCTGCGAAAACCACGCTACTTATGTTTTTACCGTAAAACACTACTTCACAACTTCTTATTAATCTCTGTATGGCTGTGTCTTGGATGCAAATGAACCTCAGATATTTGCATGACAGTAGATTACTCACTTTCTGTCACTTCCAAACACTACAAAAGATGTTCATAAATTCTTGATCTTAACAGTCAATCAAATATTTATCTGCATGATGTGGCTCTCCAGGAAATTCTTCCTCTCTTCTTCCTCCTCCAGAGCTGTGGCCCGCAGGTGTGTTTAAGGTGGTGTTTTTGGGGAACTCCGCTGTAGGAAAGAGCTCATTCATCCATCACTACTGCAGCGGTCACTTCCCCAATAACTTGGCCTTGACTGTGGGTGAGACGCTTGATTTATGCCCAGATACCGTTGACTTGATTGCAAAGATACTATTTAAACTGAGCTGGATGTTGACATCACTGAATTCAATGATGAACTGTCTTTAACTGAAAAATTGTATGTTTACTATTGTCATTTTGCATTATTGACACACTATTTTCCTAATTAATGCTGTTCAGTTGCTTTGACACAATCTGTATTGTTAAAAGCGCTATATAAATAAAGGTGACTTGACTTGACTTGACTTATGCTCACGCTTAGCTTCATTCCTTTTGTGTGCTGACAAGTCATGTGATGTTTGATTGACAGGACTGGATTTTCAGGTCAGGAGCCTAATGCTTGATTCCACACCAGTCGCTCTACAGCTATGGGACACCGCAGGGCAAGAGAGGTCAGATGTCCCAAAAACGGTTTATAGAACCAAGAGACTGATTTAAATAATCTACAATGCCAGATGAGTTCATTTATTTAAAACCTCACAGGTGAAGATATACAGTGGGTACGGAAAGTATTCAGACCCCCTTCAATTTTTCACTCTTTGTTATATTGCAGCCATTT